AAGGAATCAAAAATCGGAAAAACATATCTATTAATATATAATAAGGATTAACATAATTCACTTTTAAAAACACTTTCCCGCCAATTTCATTAATTTTTGTCTAAAAATAATAAATTAACAAAAATTAATGTAATTAATGTACATAATCTTTTTAGTCAAATATTTATGGTTATTACCTTTATTAGATGAATTTAAATTTAGGATGATTTAGTTTTATGGAAACAAATATGAGGGTATTATATAAACATTCAAAATTCTTAGTTTAAATATATAGACTTGATTGAGAAATTATAGAGAATTGATTGTTAATCTTTATATCTATATTATATTTCATATAAAACATAATGAATTAATACTTATGTTATGTTTTCATACATCTTTTTGAGAAATATATTTTATTTTTCACATTCAATATTTTAGTAATGGTATACTAAGTCACATTTTTATTGGTCACTTGTAACTGGTCTTGTGCACATGCACATGTATAAATTTATGAAGTATTATAAATTATATGCATATATAATATTAAAATTTAAAAATATAAAATAGATAGTGTATATATATCATATTTTATAAACTTGATTATTAATAAATAAACAATATACTATACGTATAAATCATTTAACTACAAATGAATATGTATATTAATGTAATACACATACATCACAATTTTTTTGTTTGAGTGCGTAAAATGTAATACATACTTTTTGTTACTTTGAGAATATGGCCAATTAATACCATGACAAATATTAAAAAAAATAAAAAATAGTATTTATAAGTATTAGAAATTGTTTGAGGGATTTTCATGCTATTCAATTAATTATATGATTGCAAAACTAATATTACTTTCAGAATAAGTAGCTTGAAATTAAAAATAATTATATAATTGTTTATGAATATGTAATTTATATATATCATTTAATGTAAATTGTAATCAGTTGATTTCAGTAATAACTATTGTATTATTGATTAATTAATACAATAATTATACTTAATAGCATAAAATATAACGGTTTTACCATGATAATTAAAAATTTGAACCGAAAAAATTTGTTATTTGCATTAATTGGATAGCCTGAAATTATATATATATATATATATATATATATATATAATAATTGAGCATGGTTGTAGAGATTGAATGAGGAGAAGACCTAATGAGCAATTGAGCATGCATTGACCATCAAGGTAATTAAGTATAGTAAATTAGTACAACACCGTGTATTACACGATGCCTGCTAATTTTTTATTTTTCTTAAAATTTAAAATTAATGAGAAAAAGTTGTTGAAAATTTAAATATTTTTTTATAAAAAATACATATTATTATATATTTTAGTATGACACTTGTTACTTGTAGGACTTACTTGTGTTATATTATAATAATTTTTCTAACTTATAACATATAACTACATTAAACATAAATATATTAATCATCAAAGGATGATTAATTTAATATATTATATATGTAAAATCCATAAAAATATAAAAATTATCAACTTTTAAAATACATTTACAATTCACTGGAAAATGAAATTATTTTAAAATACAATTAATAATCTAAAATGATCATAAATAAATCAACATATTTATGACAATCCGGACCTAATTATTTTTTAATTGGAATTAAATATAAATCTATCCAAGCAAAATAATGAAACATGAAATTTTGACACATAGGATCTTAAAGCATGCTAGTCTGCCACTTAAACTCAACACATTCGAGAATTATATATAGAGGAGATTACAGATATTCATGTAAAGAAAAATCATTTACAGGCTAGCTAGATAGAGCTCATTTTTGTCCAATAGAAATCCAACTTTATTGGTCTTTTTTTTTTTTTTGCCTTATTTTATTGAAAAAGGACATAAATAAAGACAAAAAATGCACTAATAATGTCGACTTCAATATTTTTTTTTTATATTAATACTCTCTTTACTAGTACAACGCCCGTGTATTACACGGGTGCTTGCTAATTTTTTTCCTTAAAATCTAAAATTATTGAGAAAAAGTAGTTGGAAATTTAAATAACTTTTATAAAAATATATATTATTATATATTTAGTATGACACTTTTATTTGTGTGACATACTTGTGTTATATTATAATAATTTTTTAACTTAAAACATATAACTACATTAAACAAAAATATATCAACTAGAAATAATTTTATTTTTCTAATAAAATTTAATAAATATGACTTTTATTATTATAAAGGTAAATATAATTTATTTATTTTATATATACAATATGGACGTCAAATCGAAGATCATGAAAAGATGATTAATTTGATATATTATATATGTAAAACCGATAAGAAATACAAAAGTTATCAACTTTTAAAATACATTTATAATTCAATAGTTAATTGAAGGAAACAAATCAAAAGTCAGTAATATATTAGTCATTTAGTGTCTTACTATGTAAAATTACAAAGAATTAAAGGGTTATATTAGTACAAGTGATATTAAAATACCTGAGTTAGCTAAATAATATTTATGGAATGTCCGAACCTAGATATTAATTATTAATATATCAATATTATTTGTCCGAACCTAGTTACGAAGTATGATTTTTCGCCAAGTAGGATTCCGAAGCACCAGAAACAGCCACGTAGGCTCAGCACATTGGGGAATTATATATAGGGGCGATATGTATTTCTTTTCTTTTTTCTTTTTGGTACAAAGTCTTTATATGCATTTCAAGAATAATGTAATTAACATGATATTAAAATATTCTATTTTCTATATTCATATTGTAGATTATCCAGATTTTTTGTGTTGAAGAATAAACTAAAATGGCATATTTTTATATTTAATTATTTATTTCTTAAATTAGTTATATATATCTTGAAATTTGCTATCTTTTCTATTTATAGTCACATGGAGAAAAAATAAATAAATTGCAAAATTTGAAACTTCAAGTTGCACAATATTCTTCTCTTAGACTATCGCTATCCTCAACTAAACTCTACACAACCAAATAATTAAGAATTATTTCACTATCTTCCACCTACACAACTCAACCTTACAACTCAATTTATCTTTATGCCCTAACCTAACTCAATCTAAATATTTATTTTATTTTAATTTATCTAAAAAATGCAATTAAATTCTAAAATATATCAAGTGTGGTTTCTATTTATAGACAGTGAAAAAAATATGATTTTTAGTATTTTTTTATACTAGTACAACACCCGTGTATTACTGGGTGCTTGCTAATTTTTTTTCTTAAAATCTAAAATTAATGAGAAAAAGTAGTTTGAAAACTTAAATACCTTCTATAAGAATATATATTAATATAAATTTATTATGACACTTTTTATTTGTGCAACTCACTTGTGTTATATTATACTAATTTTTTTTTTTAACTTACAATATATAACTACATTACATATAAATATATCAATTGAGAAATAATTTTATTTTTCTGATGAATTTTAATAAATATTATTATAAAGATAAATATTATTTATTTATTTCATATATACAATATAGATGTCAAATCGAAGATCATCAAAAGATGATCAATTTGATATATTATATATGTAATACTGATAAGAAATACAAAAGTTATCAACTTTTAAAATACATTTATAATTCAATAGCTTATTGAAGGAAACAAATCAAAATTCAGAGATATATTAGTCACTTAATGATTCACTATGTAAAATTACAAAGAATTAAAGGGTTATATTAGTAAAAGTGATATTAAAATACCTAAGTTAGCTAAATAATATTTATGGAATACCCGAACCTAGATTATTAATTATTAACATATCAATATTATTTATCCAAACCTAATTACGAAGCATGATTATTCGCCAAATAGGATTTCGAAGCACTAGAAGCAGCCACGTAGGCTCAGCGCATTCGGGAATTATATATAGGGAGGATTTTTCTAGAAATAAAAAAATACACTTGTTCAATAAAAATGAAACAAGTGTCACATTCTCACAAAAAAGACCCAGGATCACATTGTGACTTGGTGATTTTTTTCTTCTTTTTTTTCTGTTTTTTTTTCTTTTCTTTTGTCGTGTAGCAGTGACCCAATATTGGGTCGGATGGGTCACTGATAAAGTCAGTCTTATAATTTTCACCTTTCTAATGGTCTTTTTCGCAATCGAATGAGAATAAGAAAGTGAAAGAGCAATCGAGCACCTGCATGTAGCTTCACGATATAGATTCCAAAAAAACTTATCCCAATAGAAAAATAGTAAGATTAAAAAGTGAAATAAAAAAAATAGATAAAAAGTGTGAAATTTTTAATTTTATAAATGAAATTACATAATACATAATTACATGACTGAATAAATAGCGCGTTTTATTGGAAATACATAAATATATCAATAAATAAAAATGAGAAAATGAATAGTAATTTTTGCGAAAGTATTATATTTTTTATATTTAAATTAGAAAAATTTTAGAGACGAAAAATATTTTATTTTAATCAAAATCAAAGATCTTCGTTTCCCAAAAATATTGTCCGCAATGAAACTTTTTGAAATAAATTATTATCAAAAATTTAATAACAATTTTGTTATATGCATGGAGCATATAATAATTAATGTTTAATTATTATGTTCAGAAGAGATGCTATGATCCCGTTATGGAACTATTCTGTCGTAATTTGTAATCAGAGAGAATGAAACTTAAATTGGTACCCAATTTTGGGATATGCTGTACAAAAATCAAGAGTCTATATATGTATGTAAGTTGAAAACCACAAAGCACACCAATTTGTTTTCTCTCTCCCCAATACTTAACACTAAAGACAACACTTATAAGAAGCTATTTTACAGTAAATAACCCTCTTTTATTTTTCTATTTTTCTTTCTTTCCTTCTTAACTGTCATTATTTTTGTTTTTATTTTCAAACATATATATATTTAAACTTTAATCAAATTCATTTTTTTTTCTAATTTTGTGCTGCATATTTGATCATGCTGATGATTTTAATTTTATTGACTATTTATTATTCTGATGAAAAATTTCACAGAAAAATGGCTGGAGAACTACATAAATGGATGTGCATTTTGGTCTTTTTGCTGATATTATTGAAAAAAACTGAAAGCTACTCTGACTCTGTTGACATTACATATGTTAAAAGTGCTGTGGAAAAAGGAGGAGGTATTAAAAATAAATAAATAAAATTAATGAAGCTAGCTTGTGTAAATATTTATTTATTTACTTTTTTACCACTGAATTATTAATTTTCATGGTTGTGTATGTAATTTTACAGTTTGTTTGGATGGAAGCCCACCTGCATACCATCTTGATAAAGGATTTGGAAAAGGAATTGACAATTGGTTAGTTCATTTTGAGGTAATTGGTTCATCATTCCCATGATTTTAATAGTCGAGTTGATCGTTAATTCGTTAGAGATTTGTACTAATAATCGAGTCTTTGACAAAGTTGGAATCTGATTTTAATAGTAAAAAAAGTAACAAGCGTCAAGATCTTACGATCTTTCAGTCACATAATACTCAGTTGGTGGACATATTAACTCGTCGGACTGCATTTTTTGCTATATACAAAAATCTATAAATGTGTGCAATATAATCATCCTTTAATGAAAATGAAGTTCAAAAGAATTCATGTGAGCTAGTATTGTTTTCTTTATCTTTTTTTTTTTGGTCATGTAAGGGAGGAACATGGTGCCATAACGTAAAGACTTGTCTCGCTCGGAAAAAAACCCGACTCGGCTCCTCCAAACTTATGGAGAAACAGGTCGTTTTTTCCGGGATCTTAAGCAACAACAAGAAGTTTAACCCTGGTATATACTCAATCTCTATTTTTCCTTGCATGGTCATATATATATATATATATAAAAGTGGTGTTCAATTCGATTTCAAATTTCAGATTTTTACAACTGGAATCGAATCAAGGTTCGATATTGCGATGGCTCGTCGTTCACTGGCAACAAAACAAAAGTTGACCCTGTAAGTCTTGTTTGGCTTATACTATAACAAATTAACAATAGAATTTATTAAGGCATATTGTACTATATATGAGCATATAATTAATAAGTCAATGTTCGTTCAATTAATAAATTCTACAATATATATATCCAATCGTTCGTGAAACTTTCGATCAATCGACATTTGGTTGGACCAGAAAACGGGACTTCACTACCGTGGGGCGAGGGTCTTTGCTGCAATAATGGATGACCTATTGGCGCAAGGAATGTCGAACGCTCAAAATGTACGATAAAACATATATATGAATTTTCTCTAATTTTTTACTATAATGGTTGTAACAAAAAACTATCTTCACTTCTTGCTTCCTTATATATATGTGTATATAGGCAGTTCTATCCGGATGCTCGGCTGGCGGGTTAGCATCGATTCTTCATTGTGATAAATTCGCGGCTCTTTTTTCTCCCGACACGAAAGTCAAATGCTTTGCCGATGCCGGTTTCTTTCTTGACGCGTAACTTTTAGTGCACGACTTAGTCACTTTTTCAATAAGTTTCCTTTCGTTATTTTTTTCAGCTCATACGAAATATCTGTAACAGGAATGATATCTCAGATCTTGCGCCTATCGAAAATTTCTACGATGATGTTGCCAAGACGCATGTAAGATATCGACACAGATTAAATTAGTTATCGGTACACAACCGTAATTTTTTTTTCTTTTCTTGTTTAGTTTATTAATTTCCTCTGTGATTGTAAGTTCTTGTGGTTGAATGGACACGACAGGGGTCGATAGAGAGTTTACCGCAACCGTGCATATCGATGATGTGGCCGAGCCAGGTTCGGATAAATTTTTTCGACTAGATTATCTTTATTTTAACCTCTGCAAACTATATAATCTTTTTTTTTTCATGTTATACAAATTTTTTGTAGTGTTTTTTCCCACAAAACATGTTGCAAGACATTCAGACACCCCTTTTCTTTGTAAATGCTGCTTATGATTCATGGCAGGTCAGAACAGAACAGACACACCTTTGACAAATCAAAATTAGAGTTGAATTAAATTAATTGGTCATTACTATTAACTTAATTTGCTAATTAATTTACTGTCCTAATTTTGCCAGATTAAGAACATCCTGGCACCTAGAGCTGCTGATCCACGTGACCGGTGGAAAAATTGCAAGGCTGCGATAACGAAATGTTCGCCGGATCAAATCGAAATCTTGCAAAGTTAGTTCAGTTTCGTTTTGTCGAAAAAACTTATAGTCGAACGAGTGTTTTTGCATCGTATTGTATAGTTTTCTTCATGCAAAATATGATTATTTTATGTTTTTTTTGTCTCATCAGGCTACAGAAAACAATTCATAGACTCGTTAATAAACGCTTTGGATTCGTCCGAGTCGGCAGGATACTTCATCAACTCTTGCTACGCGCACTGCCAAACCGAAACACAGGAAACGTGGCTTAGTCAAGGCTCTCCCCGGTTGAACCAAATGGTTATTATATCGAACTTTCGAACTATAAATATATACTCTGTTTTTTTCATAATTGGAACTTTCGAACTATAACAATCCACGTTTTTTTTTTTTCTTTGGTGATTATCGACGCTGAGCAAGTATAGATTTGCTGTGTGCAGACGATAGCTAAAGCAGTCGGAGATTGGTATTACGACCGGAGCTCGTTTCGGGGTATCGATTGCCAGTATCCTTGCGACAAAACGTGCTATAATCAGACCTTTGAGCCTTCAGAAATGTAGATACAATACTGAGCAAAATGAAGAGATTGTAGCAATAAGTGGTATAGTCTCCACATGAATAAATGGGTTTTCTATAATATCATCTGTTCTGTGTTCTGTTTTCCCTGTTTCAGTTTACATTTCATTTATGAATGATGAATTTCATGTCTAATTATCTATGGGATTTACTTCCTATTAGCTTTTTCATTACACTCTTTATTTCATTTTTTTATAAAGAGTACACAATTCCTACAACATCCACAAAAACCACAAAATCCCAAAACAACCATTTGCTTTGTATATTAAAACCAAACACACATCCATCCACCCTAATATCATAATTCCCAATAACTCTTTACCTCCTCCTCACTGTAAGCTCAACCCTCAGGTGCAAAACCCCTTCGACAAAATACGGGCTTTCGTCCGCCAAAAACGCTGTCCACGTCACCCCAAACAGATTCCGAAACCCAACCGCCTTCCCCCCAGTTAACGTATAATTCCCTTTGTACTTGCTCACAAACTCCTCCGTGGGCCTCATCCTCGACGAAAAATCGTAGTCCACCTTAATCCCCGACGACCTTTTCCCCTGCATCCCCAAAAAAAGCCCAAAACAGTGAAACGAGCTGTTCTGGTCCACATCACAGTGGCCAGATAAGAAAAAGCCGTGCCCGCCGAGATGGAAGGCCTGTGAATAGACTCGGCCCGAAGGGAACAGCTTCGCGCACTCGTCCCGCCTCAGGTCCAGGTAGACCACGCACTGATGATGTGGCGCCCCGAACTCGACGACCTTAACGGGCCTGTACTTGTAAGCCCGCTCCACGAATCGGTGGAGGGGGAACTGAAAGCCCGTGTTGTGGGCCGCGAGGGCCCGCTGGCGGTACGGGGCCTCGGTCTTGAAGAAGAGGGCGTCGAGCACGAGCTTGGAGGATACCTCGGGTTCGATTTCACTGCACGCGAGGACCTTTTTCAGCTTTCGGCAGGTCATGGAGGGGAAGCGGATGAGGCGGAGGAGACGAGTGCTGAGGATTTCACGGCGCTGATCAGGCCTCGAGTAGTGGGCCTGGGCCCACTTGAGGAGGAAGTCGTAGACGGCGTCCTCCGAGGCCACGTGGAGATCGTCGCTGAGCAGGACAGCCTCGATCCCAACGAGCGGCAGGTTCAGGGCCTCTTCGTAACACCTGTCGAGCAAGCAATAACCGAGTTTATTGTTTTTCACAAGACAACACAAAGTTGAAAATTTTCGGAGTTTTTTTCAAGTCCGGTTTTTCTTAACATAGCACGAGCCGGTGTTGACTTCAACCATTTGAATTGGATTCGACGGTTTTTAGTCTTAAATTACAGCCATTTTCACACGAGAGCACACACATAAATGTCTAAAAAATTTACAAACTTTAGGTGTGTTTATAAATTTATCCTTTCGCTCAATTCATACTCAAAATTTAACTCAACTTTAACACAACTCTACCACCTTCAATACTATTAATATCATTAAATAATACCAAACAATCGTTCTTATACATCACATCAATTTTAATTCACTTTTCATTCACTTCACATCATCTCTCCTACTTTTACATCAAATCAATTTTAATTATTTTATTTTAAATTATTTAAGATAACCTCAAAATCCCACTAACAACTAACCATACTAACTTTCTCAAAATTAACTATGACTAACTAAAAAAATCTCATTTTGAGCGGATAATCCCAAGGCTATAACATTTTTTTTTTTTTTTTTGGTGAAAGCATGGAATAATTCAAGCAAGAAGCAACATTTGATCATTTGAAACCATAAAAATTTTAGATATATGGTAATCTTTAGATTAAAAGAAAGGGTGTGCTTACTTGCTTAGGTCCTTGAAACGTGTGGCAAGGTATTTTCTGGCGGCATCCATCAGTGGCTGAACCGTCTCAGACATTAAAACGGTCGAGGGGAGATCCAAATAAAGCAAGGCTGATTCACAGGTCATCGGCATGTCGCGTAATAATCGGCTACAGAACCTCATGCATGAAGCCACCTCGAATTTATCAGCTGCCATCAACACATCCAGTAAAGCAGTTGGTGTTCTCGGTAGAGTGTTGCTGTACATGAAGTTAAGCAAATCCATGAAGGCAGCTTCC